CAGACTGAATTTGTTCACAAAATATTTTTGGATTTACAGTGACTGGAAAATCCTTAAATAATTTTACTGTGAGAGCTAAAAAAATGGAGAAGGTTCCAGGAGAGGGCAGTGTTTAACTGAATGAACGCTCCAGCCTGCAAATTCCAGTAAAGCCAAATAAGTTAAGTTAATGAAGATAGGAGCAGAGTAATGTTTTGTATGAGTAGTTTTGGGATGCAGCCCAGACTTCTTAATATGGCAAAATTCCCATGTGCTTCAGTTAGATATTCAATATTTTGGTGAGCAGTTTACCTCTAGAAGGGTTGCAGGACTGTACTTGCTGATGAGAACCTTATTTCATTACTATAATACATCCCTGTGTACCTTGTAGCAAGCATCTTTTAGAGATGAAAAGAAAATAACAAAAAAAAAAGGGTAATTTTTCAGCATCAGTAGTATGACATTTCAGGCGTTTATTTATGATTGTTAGGCAAATGGCCTATTGATTAATACTTTTAGTTAATTCCTATGTGGCTGGCTGTGCATATTTGGATGAAGCAACAAGCTGAAAACTGAGTTCTTTAAGAGGCTTGGTCTTGATCTGTGGCTGTGCTGGAGGTTGCCCTTCTGAGGGCAGAAGAAACATGAGTGCTTGTGTAAAGTGTTGACAGGATCAGAGCCAGAGGGAAAGGAACATGACTGCAGTTCCAGGTGGCATCAGCTAATTATTTTGAGTGAATGATTGAAATGGGGATGCATTAGATGTGTAGGCTGCTACATGTTAGTCCTGGAAAAGGAGTTTTATACCTAACCTATCCAGCAGCATTCAGGCAGCAAGTGTTCTGCCCTGGTATATTTGCAGAGAAATGATAAGCAGTTATTAGCAGTTGCAAACTATACATCTGTAAGTGTAAGTGGCAATTTACCATACAATATTTGTGAATTACTTTGGTGATAGAGTATGCAAATGCATAGACCCTGGGTATTCATCTGAGTTCCATACTCTGACCAGCATGACCTTTATGCTGCTGCTCGGGTACAGAAAGTGAATGGCCTGGATTGGTAGCACTATATGTGATAGTAACTCGGGCAATACAACTAGGCAATGGTTACTTTGATAGTTTTTACTAAAACTACAGTTTGAATTCAGGCTGACTTGGCAAAAACAGATAATGAACATTGGTGTCAGGGAGAAAAGACACCAGTTCAGGATGCCTAGTCTCATTTTGGATTCTGGTTGTAAAGTTTCTTTTCCTCTCTTTATGCCAAAGATACTTGGCATACATATTGCCATAGGCACGTATTTGTGTTTTCAATGGAAGCTATACACTTTTTTGCCTTTGTGTCATAGGTATTTTGTGCCTGTTTTGTTTGTTTGTTTTTTTAGATAGTTGCAATTGAACAGCAAGAAAAGTATACCACATTCTGGTAGTATCCAGAATCTATACAAACAAACTGTAGTAATCACAACTGGATGTCTTACATTCTCTATTATCTACTTGTAGACATGAGGGACCTGTAACTATTGTTTGCTGATGGGCAGAAAAGCTTTTTAATCTTCTTGAATTTTGATATTGTCATTGTTTACCATACTTCTATAAGGAAGACTTTTTTTTTCCTTTTTCACTAAGCACCAACAAATCCAAATACTGAAAAATGATGAGTGAAATTATTGACAGAGTACTTTTTGCTACATTCTCAATTGCATTCAGTAAACTCCTTTATAAAGTGTCTGCTAAGCTCAGGACATTAATTTGGCACATTCATGTCACAAAAGGATCCCCCTCAGATTTGAAAACTGCTGCCATTCCAAGAAATTGTAACTACTCACTTGTGTGTGAGCCTAAAGTCAAGATCAACAGACCTTTCAAACACAATGCTATCAGAAGCCCATTAGCTGTTATTGAGTAGAGGTTGCTATAGCATTACATTGCTTCTGAAATGCAAGCATACAAAAGCAGTAAGGTGATGCTACTAGCTTAGCAGTGAATCTCCCATAGCAACTTAATTAAATTCAAATACAAGAAGTGATACATTATCCAGTGAGGATGCAGAACAAAAGGTGAAATAGATGGTATTTTTGCTAATTCAATAGTTTGTCCTTTTCTATTTTCTAACCTTGAAATTCCATGCTCCTGAGTTACTGTTATCTGGAAGAAAAGCCATTTGCTTCTACAGAATGTTAGGTATGCAGCAAACAGCCTTTTATTTCAGAGAACTGGGAAACTGAGCAGTAATAATGCCAATTGCATGGCAGTACTGTAAAAAAAATACCTTCCCACTGAAGCTTTTGACATAAGTTTCTGCAGTTACAGAATAAATAGTCCATTCCTTCTTTTAGATAAAAGGTCTTGCCTGGGATGCTTTGTTTGATAGCACTAGTGTTTTTGTGCTCAGTGATTGCTTTCTCTTAGAATTCAAGGGGATGTGTATATGCTGCAGAAGGTCAATTAGAGAAGGTGGATTAATTAAAAATAATGATCAAGATACTGATCAGCATGGACCCAGTCCGGACTCCTGCTAGCGTGCAGGGGCACTGCTGAGGTCAGAGATGATAGGCACTCTTATTGCAGTGGGCCCATAATTGCATCCTAGAGCTTGATCTCATAGAGACCAGGTTAGGTAGGGTTGTTGTTGATGGTGGTTGTACAATTTAGATAATAGGCAGCTGTCTCTGAATTTTTGTTCCAACACCAAGAAAACACAGAGGTCCCAAAACCCCATATTCCTAAAAGCAGTCCCCCAAACCCACTCTATACGGGCTGCTAAGTCACACTTAGTTTATCTCTTTGCTGGAGCTGAAGAATGGAGAGGGATTTCTGTATCTGGAAACAGCTGTGAACCTTGAATTTAACGTTTCAATATAAAATGAAACATATTTACCAGCATAACTCTGGCAATATAATTATTATTATTGAAAAAATACTTAGTAATAATAATGTCTCTGAAAGCCTAGGTGGTGCTGGAATTAATTTGTATTCTTGTAGCCAGATTACACTTAGCTGTTTCACAACAGTCCTTGAGGCTGCAAAAGTTTGGGCAAAACTTGCAATGTGGTCCTTGTTTTCATGTGCTGTGTCCTTCCCCACGGAACTGGGAAGAAACCATTAAAAAAAAAAAGAGTGACAGACACAAAGTACTTTTTGGGGTGAAAAGGTACGGTCTAATTTCAGAGTATGTATGAAACACCTGCAGAAGAAAAGCAGAGCCCAGCTGCTCTGCAGAGTTGTTGTGAGGCATGGCGCTAGAACTGTTGGTTTTCTGAGCATGTAGGGGTTAATAAGCAGCTGGCTGACAAATGTCTGTGCTTGCCTAGCCTGAACGTAACAGTGACAATAGCATAGCACTTGTTGTGCATCCAGCTTGCACACTGCCCAGGGGATTGCCACTGTGGGGAGATGCATGGGCTGCTCATGTCCATTGTTTTTCCTTGCCTGCTCTTTGCTCCTTGTGTCCCCCTTCCTATTTGGAAAAGGAGAGGCACCAGCAGCAGAAACTAAAACAGACTCGAACTGAATTTGCTTGCTACTAAAGGCAGGAATCTTTGCTTTTACAGGTCCTGCGAACTTGGCATCTGAAAAATTGTCCCAGGATGATACGAAGGTACAGATTTCTCCTTATACAAATAACTAAGCTTCGTTTAGGTTGAGAAGCAGCAAGCCTCTGCTTGGCTATCTTGGCACTTCCGAGAGCTAACAGATAAATAAGGTGACTAATGCCTGCCAGACATTTCCTGCCCTTTCCTATCCCGTGGGAATAGTTATGTGTATAGATGATTATTATTTGAAGGAACCTGCCTGTTGTGTGGTTGTGGGCCGGAAAGCTGAGTTGGATGAGCAAGCTCTGCTTTAGGACCAGAAAGCTCTTGTGTTTATGGTGAACCTTAGTGCCTTCAGGGAGCTTGCAGCCCAGCTCCAGTCTCAGGGGAGCACAACCTGTCTCATAGAAGCTTCATCCTTGAGACGTCATGATTTGTTACATCTGAGGAGTTAGTCTCTGAGAGAGAGCTTGTGGGTAACTGTGAGCCTTTAGCTGCACTTAACTGTGAAAACTGCTTTGTGTAAAAATATATGTCAGTTCCCACTGTCTTCTATATGGAGGTATCTAACAGATATTGGAGGGGCACCAGTAGTTGTGAGAGGTCCCATTATGGTTAGCCAGTTGTATTTGGTCGCTAGTATTATATTCTTGCTTTTTAGTTATATGTATCTGTTTACAGAACTAGAAAATCTTTGTGTCAGTGGGTTTTTAATAATTTTTTAAAGCAAGGTATGCTTCAACTGGGTATGAAGCTAAAACGATGATTTAGGTTGAGGGAAGCAAAATCTGGTAAAATCTGACAAATAGCTAATTACTGTTGATTTTTTTTTAATAACATTTGAATTTCATGTAATATTGTTGAACTGCCACTTTTGTTAAGTAGTTATTATAAAATGGATGACCTCTTTAGGGTTGGTTTTATTTTTTTAATTGCCAGCTGTGCAGACAATTGATCATTTGTTTGGGATTCAGATGTTGCAATTGTAATCTATGTCATCTCAGAATTATAACTCTGCAATATGCATGCATTTTTGAGTCTATTTTGAAAACTTACGTTGGGGCAGAGTATTGCAGCTTGTGAGTCTTGGTGGGGTTCTGGTACCTTATTGACTGTTTCTTGATTTGATTAATCAGAAAGACCATAGTTGACTCTATGAAGAGTGATACTATATTTCTACAGGTGTGAACAGCTCAGGTGTTAGAGAAGGAGATATTTTAGAAATATATTGTTTTTTCCTCCAAAACACTGTATTCACAAGTCAGGGCACAGCTAAACCTTATAAAAGAAAAGCAGGCAGAAAACTGGAGTTTGCATGGGAATTGAAGTGTGGTTTAGTCTCTTCAGTTAGGTTTAGAGCTTGAGTCCATGGGGTTCACATGCATATTGTAGAGTCTGGTAGAGCATACAGTATCTGTTGCCTTGATTAAAATGACTAAAATGAAGTGACTCCTGCTTGATAGTGTTTTATCTGAATTCTGAAAGCGTAAAGCACTTCTTGCAACTAAGCACAAATGCAACTATTTGTTTTCAAATATATATCTCAAGTTTTCTGTTTCTAGCCTTTCCAAGAGTCTGTGGTTCCTTATAAAGAAAATGAAGATCATGTCCTGCTGGGCATAGGTAAGAAATAATTAATAATTTTTAATTTCCCAGAAGTTATTAATATATACAGTGATGCCAAATACACATAAACCAGGTTCTTTAAAAAGGTGGAGGTCATTGACACTGCAGCCTAACTTTGCAGAATGTCAGAGAGGGAACCTCTTCCAAGGCACCTCTAGTATAGATAGGTGGTGTATTCAATAGTATCATGACACCTTAAGATTTTTCAGTAGTATATTAGCTATTGTAGGAAAAACAATCTTGAAAATAATTTCTGATGGAGCCAACATACATGACTCAAGATGAAACAAAGCACATAGACACATTTATATGCTGAAGTGGTAACTGAACTGTGGGGTTGGTAGAATACAGCCAGTTCCACTAGGCAGTACATTTACAGACTGAAACTTAGATGGAAAGGTGAGTGTTTTCAAATACAAGTCCAAGGACAATGTGCAAACATAAGCACAGCAAGGCAGAAAAAGATGACAAGTAACTAAGCTCTCCCAGTGGGAGCTGCTGTGCCAGTCAGAGGAGCTGGCAACTGCTGCTGTCAGTTGCCTGTGGTCCAGTGCTGAGCTCAGAAAGAGCAGCCCAGATGGTGGCATTCAGACAACCCATATACAAACTTTGGTGGCTACAAAATGAAGCTCTGTGTGTGCATGTGTGTAGAAAGGGAGGGGATTTATGTGCAGGAGTGGCGGTGGCATATGCTAGAAGGAAATGAGCTGACGTACACTCAGAGAGACAGTTGTAAGATAAACTGGCAGATTATTTTAATAGTCTGTCATTAAAATAATAATCTAGGTACCTATTTTTCTAGACACTGTTCTGCCAAGTGCCTGTACTTCCACTATTTAATCCTGTCTGTCTCACTCTCCCATACCAGGAATATCAGAACTGCATAAGGGAATTGAGAGTAGTAGCAAAAATATTAATATTCACAGTTATCCTGACTTTAGTGCTTTTGAGCAGGGACATCACAGCAGTCCTTGCCCTGCACAGAAATGCTGTGTATGTGTATGAGAAGTTAGGACCCATGTGATCAAATCTGTTTTGTTAAGCAAGACCAAACTATTGGACTACATCTCAGTGTAGGAGGGTGGGGAGTCATTGTGGAGTTATTACGGTTTACTAATCTGAAGCCACATCTGCTTCAGTCTCCGCTCCAATTATGCCATCTGGAAGGAGCATAAGGTAGCTTAAAGCTGGCTGAGAGGAAGTTCTCCACCTTGAAATTATAGCTGATGTATCTTTTTCTTACCCCTGAATTGCCTTTTCCTTCTAAGGCATTGTTTGGACAGCAGTGCTTGTGACAACTGGAACAGGAGCCAGGCCCTCTGGCTTCAGACCAGCTCAGTCTCCTCTCTGATGCTGGGATGGGCAGTGGCAGCAGGTCCTGAGTCTTCTGCAAGGAACAAGCAAGTGACTTTGGCCATGGTTCATACTGTTAGGAGTGATAAATTGTAGATTCTCAGAGGAGCTTTTGGGTAAAATAAAATAAATAATTGCATACAACTTGGAACAAGATTTAGGTGCCTAAAATTTGATTTAAATGTTTTTTTGTAGGCATCTTATGTATGTATGGAGTAAATTTATAAGTATGGTTACAAATTTGTAGATATACATATATCTGTGCATCTACATGTGTCTATGTTTACCTTTTGTCCTGAGCACAAGCTCAACTTATATTAAACTAAGAAAAATTCCTTGTTGTACCTCTTATCTGAAAAAGGTACAAAATTATCTTCCCTAAATTATAATTAGCTTCTTCCCTGAATTATAATTAGCTTGTAGTACATTTAAGAGGTTGACTTGTTTGTGAAGAAGCTGCAGTGGAATTGGTTCTGCTTGTTTTAGAAGTAAGTCACTGTAACTGAGAACTTAGTTGCCCTATGTAAGGACTGGAGTGGGGATTCACTGCCAGTTGCTCAAAGAGCTCTTCTTGCCCATCTCCCAGCTTGCATACTAAAGTTATCTGAAACACTCATAACGTAGACAACTGATGGGATTTTGTCACTGACTTCAACAGGGCCTAGAGTCTTCCAGTTAGTGTTGTGTGTGGGGCTGAAGTGCAGGCTGGGCAGCAAATGGGCGCCCAGGTGTGCAATGAAATGTGGAAGTGGAGAGGGATGAAGAAGGATGAAAATAAGAGTTTGGTGACAATCAGAAATGTATAAGTTGACTTAAGCTGGTTTTGTTTGTTTATCTGAATGCAAAAAATTGTGTATGTTCTAACCTGGCTCATATAACCATATTGCTGAATAGTGTAGTTTTATTAGCCTGGATTGTTTTAAACTACTTGTTCAAAAATTGTTTGCTTGGCAGTGTTGTTAAATGGCAATGTTTTTGTCTGGAAAGCACACAGTGGGGGATAAAAAGAGAAATGGAAATGGTTGTCAGTGGGGGAGAGGAAGAGGGAGAACAGCTAAGGGGGAGTTGAGTGAAGAAGAATGAATAGAAATGGGCAAACTCTGGAATCTCACTAGGAAGTTGGATGTGTAAATCGAGGAGGACTTCCAAGAGCAAGAATGTGAGTGCTCTTTGAATGGGTACAAATTCCCTCACTTATGCTTCTCACATGTTTTCCCACGTGTTTCTTTCTTTCAGAAAAACATTTACCAAAAATCATCCTCATCATAGAATGGTTTGAGTTGGAAGGGTCCTTCAAAAAAGCAGTGGCTCATGGAAGGGCTCTGCTGTTCTTGCTTTTTTTTTTCCCCAGCTTGCCCTTTCAAGGATACTGACTGTGCTGGCTGTTTCCCCACACCCAGTGGAGTTTTGTAAGTCTCTGCAGGGGTGCTCAGAACAGCTGGTATGGTGCTAAAAGGTTACCAACTATCCTTGCTTCCTGTCTTCTTCTTTTTTGGGTTGGGACATGGCTGCCTTAGAAACCATTTGAATCTTGCAGTTCAGTTTTGAGAATTGTAATTCAATTTTTTGCACAAGAGGCTTCTTGTCCTCCAGGATAGCTAGAGGGCCTGTGGGGTTCCACCCCTCTGATTGTTGGGGGATGATGGGCCAGTAAGAAGACATGTGAACTACAGATTATGTTTTTGGGGTTTTCTGTATTCAAAATTGAAGCAATAGGGGTAAACTGTGGGCCACAACAGGATGCTAGACCAGGCTCACCAGGAGCTTGTATGAAGGCTGCTGAATTCAGTGCTAGTCACACCTGCCAGTCTTCTTCCCCTCTCTCTCTTCTCTCTGTCACCTCTGGAAATTGTTAGAGATCTGTTTTGTGTTTACAAGAGGAAAAAAACCAAAAAACCACCTTTTTTTTTTTTTTTTTTTTTTTTTAAGGACATTGAGAGACAAAAACACTATCCAGTTGGGGAGAGTGAATGAAATAAAGAAAAAAAGGATTTTTTTTTTTTTTTTTTTTCCCCTTTCAATATTAAGCATGTGTCTTATTGCCAGGCATTGTCATCCTCAGAGTCAGCAGCCATCTACATTATGGGAGAGTCTAAGAGGTGACAGCTGAATGATGTTACTGTTGGGCAAGTGACAGTGTTAGTTGGGCATGTGTTTTTAAACATTTATCATTCCTTCCTGTTTTGCATAGCTGGTTTGGAAAGAGTATGTTCACAAGGCCATTTATAAAGCTGCAGAAGTTTCTTTTTTCCAATAAGAAAAATCTAATATTCAGTTTTTCTTCTAAGGAAATATAGATATTTTTTTTTTTTTCCTTTTTTTTTCTAAACTTCAGGGAGGCAGGATGATGTTAAGTTTAAAAAATATTTTCCCTGTTTTCATGGTTACAGTGCCAATGACCTACCGGTGTCTGCCTAATCTATTCTGTTTGCTCTGCTGTTGGTGAAAACATTCTGCAAGCCACGTTTTGCACTTCAGGAGATAAGAGTACTGGTGCCAAATTTTTGGCAGTTTCCTGTATATGACCAGGCAGCTACAAAGCATTTTTAGTAGAGCCTGCCCTTTGATTTTCGTGATTCCACAGAATCCCAGTTTCACCACAGGTCAATTTAAGGAACAGAACATAATGATCTCTGTGTGAACCAGTAGGTCTGCACTGTAATCTGCAGAAAAACCTGGTTTCAGTGTTGCTGTTCTGTTCTTTTTCAATTGGATTTCCTTACTGTGGTTGGTAAGACTTAAAAAGGTGGGGTTATTTTTAGCATAGAAGAATGCATGGTTCTGCTGTCTGAAGTCTCACCTTTGTCCAGCTTTTTTTGGGGGACAGTAATGCTATTGTTTTTTCTACTTCATGTGGCCACATCTTTTACTCCTGTTTTAATTGGTTTCCAGGGTGGAGAATGTTTGCATTTGGAAGTGTTTTGAGTCAAGTGTGCCTCTTTTGATATTCAAAGTACAGGAACTAATTTCTGGTTATTGACAGATGAAAGTGAAAGTTACATGTTAAGTGTTGCCTATTTGAAACACTTAAAAGAGTCCTGTGAGTAAAGCTGTGCAGGTTTTTTCTGTTTGTGGTAATTTTTATTTTCCTGTCAGCTTTCAATCTTCTCTTTCTCTTAGGCTTTGAGAGAGTTTGGTGATCCAGCCATAGCATCCCTAGTCCAGAAGCTGCAGACCTTTTCTTCAGTTTTAACAAATTCCCAGTAGGACCTTGGGCATGTCACTTATCTTCTCCCTGTGCCTTGGCTTTCAACCTAAAATTAGAAAGACCATAGAGAGTGAGGTGAGAAAGAGGCACGGAAATCCTTGAATATTTGGAGTTGTGCAAATACTCAGACTGATTGTACTGAAGAAGTTCTGGAAGGTCAGTTTGTGGTAAAGGAGGCTTTTTTAAAAACTCATTTTTAGTTGAAAGGTAGCTGGTCTGAAAATTGCAGAGAAAAATAATAGCTGAAGAAAATGGCATAGTAACTGCTCCAGCTAATGACTGTGGCAATTGCACTCAGCCCTTTTTTTTCCCTGCAACTTTCAGAGATCTTTAGATTGTTGCTTCTACTTTTGCAAAATCTTAGCATGGTTTTTTGCACTGTGCAGAAGAGAGACTTAACCTGAAGGTGATCTGCCATAAACAACATTTTAACAAC